TATAAACTATTTCATGGTACTTTCAAAAATAAAGTTTGGCCAATGAATAAAAAGTTTGCTCAATTTTGAATTTGTGATGCATATAAATCACAACTTCTGCTTCCAAGAACAGTAAAACAAAACCATTAAAAAATCTATACTCATCTTCGGAGCCTGTGTTAGTTTTCTGTCATTAGCTAATTATAAAATAAAATATTAATGACAGAGATGTTAGATCAAAGCATGTGTTAATAGATCCTGGACCATTAATAACTGATGCCCTACATCACTATAATTTAGGCCACTTGAAAGCAACCGTACCTCTAAATCTGCTTATACATGTTGTCCACGAATTCAGGTGCTTTGCGTTTTTAAGAAGTTAAATCACAGGCCCAGGAAGAAGATTTAACCCCCCCCCCCATACTCACTGTGTAATGAAATGTTCATACAATACACAGTGAGGGGGGATTTAAATCCTCTTCCTGGTCCTGTGAGTAAAATTTTCAAAATAATTGTTTGACTTAAGTTTTTTCAATCGTTGTAATAACAATGTGGAATTCAGATTTACAGGTCGTCTTATACTCAGATACACTTAAGCGTATCTGAGTATAAGAGTATATATTGAGTATATACACAGATAGCTTACACTTAAGTGTATCTGAGTATAAGTATTTTTTATTAAAATAAAACACATGTGATCTAAAACTGTAAAGACCAGATATGGTAAAAGGCCATCATTTATAAGATATGTACGCACAAGAGCCAAAAATAGGAAGGACGAAAGATTAGGGGACATCACCTCTATAGGTTGTGTTCCCAGTGTCTTAGAGGCCGTTAACGGTGTGAGGGTAACTGAATATTTAAGTGATATCTTTAATGTGATGTAATTGTTTTATACATATATTTATGATATATAACCCATGTCATTTTGATAAAACTCTTTAATACAATACAATACAATACAATGACAAAAAAAAATATTCATGATTAATCACAATAAACAGGATACATTGACAGGCCATCGTATGTCATCTGAGTTTCAGACAGATTCAACCAACACGTTTTCATAAATCATTAAATTAAGTGATTACTGCAAGTTTATAACAAAGGAGGCTTTGGCAGTCTGGCCCAAACAAAATGAAGAATGACAAGGGTGACATATTTTATGTCAGCTTTATTCAGCTATTTAGAAACTATACTATTGGAGATGAGTTTGATGGGAGATTGAACTAGCAGACATTTAATATAAAAGTGTTACTTTAAGAGCTACATGGACACCACGTATAAAAACGACATACACATTGGTTAATATAATTCCAGAATTTAAAGTAAAAAGCATGGTTTTACATGAGACCATTTTAATAGAAAAACAAACCACCGCGAGTTGTATGTAAAATGAATTTGGGGATTTTTCATGATTTTTTGCTTATCCGTTGCTTTATAATATCTTCAAAATTCTATGAAAAGTTTTATTGACAATAAGGTTGCACCATATAGTTCAAAAATAGAAATATATGTTCATGTTCAAGGATTATCATAATTAGGCGTTGTTTTCTAAAATTAACGCTTGATGCAAGCATCTCGTGCATACTTTGACAAGCAACCAGCTGAAGCAACACCTTCAAAGAACGGTCATTCCACATTGCACAGAGCACAGGGCTCAAATCCTTAAATAAATGTTAAACATACGTATGAATGTTCGAAAAATCATAAACATTATGTGCTTCTAACCATTGTGCATTTGTCTATCTTTGTAGTTTATGTTTAAATTTTAAATGCTTCAATTTAGTAAATAATGCGCTGCTCTTTAGTATGAATTATACACATGCAATATGTGTGGTGAATAACGAAAATGGTGACAACAGAATATATACAGCCTAAATTACAACAAGCAGGTTACCGCCTGAAATCGAAATCCAATTTGACAAGCAATCAATAATTCATATCACCAAAATAGTACTCTAAGCTTGGAATCATATCTAGAAAAGTTTTGTCACAACTGATATTGATTTCAGCCTAGGAGTTTGGATAGAATTTATATTATTTGCATGCGATTTGTAAACCTGTCGTCAAGTGTCAACCTAACGGAATACATTCGTTTTCATGACACGATAACCATGGAAACCGAGACAAATTGAAATTGACGGAGGAGAGACAATGAGGTGTTTAATTTTAATCATCTCGGTTGGGCTAGTTTGTCTCAAAGCAGAAGTCAACAATTGGATGTACATTAAGGAAGGTCCGTAAGATTTATTGGATTTTACGATAATAATTTGTTATTTATAAAAATCATTCTAACATAAAATTAAGGTGATTTAGACGTTGCAAATTATAAAAAAATAGAAAAAATAGAAAAATGTTTCAAAACTACTACATGATTTTATTATGGTATCAAACTTTTTATTTTATTAGGATCTTGAACAATGAGATTTCACCTAAATACCAATACGTCGTTAGGTATACAAATAATTCTGATTCTTGTTGATTAAACTACTTTACAGTTTGCCCACACTCCCTTGGTTATGTTAAGCCATTTACACAGGCACAGGGGCATTGGTGCAATGTGTTGGTCAACTTTAAAGCTCCCTGCATGGGTACGGTTGTAGCCTGGGAATACTACGCTATGTATAACCCCTCTGACCTTTCTGGATTCTTTAATCTCGTTGTTTTAACACCAATTGCTGGAACAACATCTTCATATACAGTCAGGTCAATTACCAGATTTCCAGAGAGTCCGCTAGGCTACAACGTGTATGTAAAGAACATAACGGTGAGTCATTATAACATATCATAATAACATTTAAACTGATGAGTATGTGCTTTTAAACGTGTGTTGGAAACATATATTGAAAATTGACAAAAATAATCTACAATATGCAAATACAGGGTGAGCCAAAAAAGTTAATCCAAAAAAATCTTAATAACTCTGTCACTCAGGCTTTGTATAAAAAACCTCCTACCTCATACCCACCTACCCACGTACGTGGGACATAATACAGTCCTTGAAGGGTTCAATTTTAAAAATTATTAAATCTTAGTTGATGTTGAATTTTAGATGAATTAATGCACCCATATGCCTTTATCTATGGATCTGTCAACTGTCTAGTCATAAAATATAACCAGAATTGAAAAAATATTTAATGAGGAATTCTGAGGGAGGTACAGGTGACAAACCATTACTTCTTGGACGAGATACACATACATACAAGCAACTATATACAACAAAAAAACATTTCGAGAAATCAAAAGCAGACATGAAATCAAAATAGCTCAAATTATTAACATTTCTGCAATTCCGGCTTTATTTTATGACATGACCGATCCATAAATAAAGGCATATGGGTGCATTAATTCATCTATAATTCTTCATAAACTAAAATTCAATACTTTTTAAAATTGAACCCTTCAAGGACTGTATCATGTCCCACGTAATGTCATCCTACCAAGTTTCAGTGGTCATTCTAAATAGTTAAAATCTGGTGGGATTTATGTCTAGTCAGTGAGGCACATTTCGACATTTTGAGCATGTTTCGTAAATTACCATAAAATCGTGACTATTAGGGATAAAAAATTACAGTTAGTAGAATGAAATAATATTGAACAAGGTTTAATTGTGCCAAATATGATTTGAAACCCATGCTGAATGACATACAGTAGTTATTTTCATACATTTGCTTGGGTTGCCTTTTTTGGCTTACCCTGTACCACAAAGGACTTCATAAGAATAAATTAACCGACAAACGTATGGGCGGGGGAGTAGTGGAAAATCATGGAATTTGACACCGAAATGTAAAAAAACAGTATTTTAACTGCTCAGTGTAGCTGTAGAGCAATGGCTTTATGTATTTTTCTGAAATAAAAAGTAAATGAATTTTTTATCTCAAAGATGATGGAAGGTGATGTAATTGGTTTTATGGCCGATTCGAACCAACCTTCCCAAATGGGGATTGCACAAGAGGTGCTAGGGGAACAGCCTACGTACGCAACCGACTTGTACTACGACTTTCAAGGGAGTGGTGAAATATTTGCAGATACTACATCTGTTGGTGATTCAGTTACATTGTCAGCAACTAATGTAAATGGGAGGGCCTACCCTATAAAAGCGCTGTATACATACAGTATGTTGCATCAATTGTACATGTACATGTATCTATCAAATATAAATAGTTCAGATTATTAACAAAGGATTTTTTAATGAAATATTTCATCAAATAACTTATGCTCAACATTCCATTTGCCCTCCTACCCTCATTTTTTGATTTTTACACCTGAAAGTCATTTATCTATTGCTCAAGCTCGAAAAATAAAGGAGGCAAAAAATCGAAGGGATGTAGATATAAAGCTGGCACATAATAAAGTATACACTCCCCTCCATAAGTTTGGCAACCTTACCTCCCTATTGAAATTGAGAAAAATGGAGATATTGGAAATGAAGTCAAATAACATTTCCATCAATATTAAACGTATTTTCCTCGCAGGCTATTAACACGGCTTTATCACGTAGTTAAACGACGAAGCCAAGGTTGCCAAACTTATGGAGGGGAGTGTATTTCAGCCACAAAGTACTTAGTATTTGGTCAAATCTTTTTCACGTGCAATTGTATTTTTTAAATTAACTTTAGGAGGATTGGCTACCAGGATCGACAGTCGATATTTTCAAACAATGAAAACGTCAAAATGTCGTTATTTTCTGAAATTAATAACGACTATAAATTCAAAATAAACAGTCCAAAAGATTCGAACCAATATCTCGATCATTTCTTGTGAGTTTTAGAATTTTTTGTTTACGAATAAGACCAAAAATGCACGATTCAAATGTTGAAGTGAACAAAATGTCGGCTCAAATTTTGAATCACGACATTTCCATATATCGGACAGAATATCGATGTGAACTCTATGATCCAATCCTCCTTGAAAATAACTGGTTGACAAGAAAGTGACATAGAATCCCTTGCGATGTTATGTATAAAAACTAATTTTAAGTTTACACGACCACGTGTTATATTACAGAGTATATAAACATGGGTTGCTGGGCGGATACGGCGACAAGGGCCATGACATCTCTGGAAGGTGCAGCCGTACTTGATGGCGCTTATGGAGAACGACAGGACGCTATCAATAAATGCTTCATCGCAGCTAGAAACAAGGGCTATGAGTACTTTGCTCTGCAAGGGGGTTCTTGCTGGGGATCAGCATTTGGAGATGACACTTCTTATGCTCAGTACGGAGAAAGTGAATCTTGCGAGAAAAATGGAAAAGGAGGGACATTGAAAAATAATGTGTATAGGATAACATTAGGTAAATGTATTTACGTTTTATATATAGTGCATAGCAGGCCCGTAGCCATGGGGCTGGGGAGCCAGAAAAAAGATGGGACCGGAAACTCATCCTCCCTCCCACATAACCAGAAATGCTTTCAAAATCATGCAGGTTTTTACCATTCTGAGCACTTTTTTGATGATGACGATTTTTTAGCCAAAACCAAAAGCTCTCCATTTGGTAAACGCTAGAAACGAGCAAGCATATATATAGCGTTTGCAATAAGTCATAAAAACGTTTGAAGAATGATGCAATTCAATTTATGAAAGAGGAAAACACGTTTGATATCCACAATTTGTATGAATTAAATATTTGTTTTGACTATAGAGTGTTGTTTGGAGTGAATGTCAAGTAAAAAGCATGATATCCACAACTTGGCACGTGGCAAACCAATCTTAGAATATCAACTCGGAAATATATGATCGCACACCTTCAAAAATGAGATGTGTAATTCACTTTTAAAATGATTTTTAAAGAATTGTGATTCGTTATTGCCTGACTCTAAAAAACTATATTTGAAGAAAGCTTATTCTAAATTCAATTCTCTGAAATCATATGAAATAGGAATATGAAATATCGCAATAATTATAGGATTATAATTTGAATGATTATAGGATATCGAAGTATAGGCAAGTGTTATAGGACACCACATAATGGACTAAATTCTCTGGAGGGTACAGATACCATCCTTGATGATAACCATACTCTGAGAGATGATGCTATTGGGTAATGTACATTTTTGTTTTTACATATTTCACAATAAAGGGAGTATATATATATAAACTCTGTTTTTCTTCAATGTTGTTCCTCAATTATATAACCTCATCTGTTTATGACGAATCTGTTCAAATCAGCCAAGCATGAATGGGCTTTAACCCCAATGTCTGGAACCTTTTTTAATAACACTAAGTCGCAAGTGTAGGGGGGTCATTTGAACCATGTAACTGTCTATATTTTATGAATTTCATTTTAATTTGCAACTTTATTTTTAATTAGGAAATGTTATACCGTGTCACTGAACAATGGCTACAAATATTTCGGACTTGTGGATGGCGGGTTATGTTTCGCTGGGTCAACGTTCGATTATTCTGCAATTCCTTTGGATATAGCTGAATGTGGAGCAGAGGGAGACGGTGGACCGACGTCGTACATGATCTATGAAATTATGAATGGTACTTAACATGTTTTTTTGTTTTTCATAGATTTCACGTTCTTTTATTTGAGGCGGTTATCGTGTCGTGCCTTACAGCATGTACAGGGCCTTTTGTGCCCAAAAGGCCCGTGTTTTGGCTCCATTTTTGTTCTGGGCCAATCCAAGAGGGAGCTGCCCCAAGAACCACCAGTGTTGAGGATTGATTTTTTATTTCCTCTTGTAGTGTGTTTTGTGCGTTTTTGATATCCAACATTGCATCATAAGTATCACCGCGCGATTGAAAATAGTTTGAATTCCTAATTTCTTTGTATATACACCTATTTTGTATCATTGCCACTGAATATGTTATAGCAATCAGGAACACATGAACGTTTTTGAAAAACGCAGTCCGAAACTGAAAAAACATAACTTTTCCCGAATCGCAGTATACCAATAGAAGCCCCGTGACAGAAAATACATTTGAATTATTTAGTGAAATAAGTCTGTGAATAATCAATGTCAATGCGTTTGGCATTTATCTCTGTAAGGATGCCATGTTGTCATCGATTCATCTCGTTGAAGGTTTTTAGGATTCATGAATTATTTCACGAGTTAGAGATTCGTGAATACACATTCATTTCCGCGATTCTTTAATTACGGAAAGCTATAGGGGACATGCGCATAATTCAAAATCGAATGGAGTTTTAACATGGGAGTGATATCACACACCGCGGCCCAGTCAGATAGATTTCATCGCGCACTGAATGAATTACAGGGGCCGCGTTTTGCAAAGTTAATTAAAATAAAGTGCGCAGAAATTCCGGCATTCAGTGCGCGATGAAAAAATGATTATCTGTGAATAAATAACGAATAAAAATTCGTAGCACCACGAATTTGATTTTTTTCGAAAGACTGCGCAGTGAACCAGCGAAATGACAATTTTGGATAATATTGATGGCTCTAACGAGGAGAACTTTGAGATTTCCTGATTCTAGCGCGCAGCACATCCAGGACCATGATGCGCACTTTTATCAGATTCGATTCTAATATGGTTTCAAAGATAATGTTCATTAAAAGAGGGCGTATGCATACAGATTACAAGTGGCGTTATGTTGAAGTGACCCTTGCACTTGGGTTCCATTGAAAATATATTATTTTGGGCCATTTCATATCTTTTAATTGATATTGTATAAAATATTTTCAATGTTTGAAAATTATAATCTTATAAATAACATTTTATGTAATAAAACTGTAACAAAATGGTAAATACGGAATATGATGCAATACAATGCAGTGCAATATGATGTTATACAATGCAGTGCAATATGATGCAATACAATGTGGTACAAAATGATGTAATACAATGCGGTGCAATATGATGCAATACAATGCAGAGCAATATGATGCAATACAACGCAGTGCAATATGATGCAATACAATGTAGTGTAATATGATGCAATACAAAGCAGTGTTATCTGATGCAAAAAATGCAGTGCAATATGATACAATACAATGTAGTGCAATATAATACAATAAAATGCAGTGCAATACGATGCAATGCAATACAGTGCAATATAATGCAATACAATGCAGTGCAATGCAATACAGTGCAAAACAATGCCGTGCAGTGCAATACAATGTAGTTCATTTCAATACAATGCACTGCAATACAATGTGGTACAGTGAAATACAATGCAGTGCAATACAATACATCGCAGTTCAATACAGTGCAACACAATGTGGTACAGTGCAATACAATGCAGTGCAATACAATACATCGCAGTTCAATACAGTGCAATACAATGTATTGCAATGCAGTGCAATAAAATACAATACAGTTACAATGTAGTTCATTTCAATACAATACAGTACAGTGCAATACAATGCAGTGCAATACAATACAGTGCAATATAATACAATGCAGTGCATTGCAATGCAGTGCAATACAATATGGTACAGTGCAATATATTGCTGTGCAATACAAAACAATGCAGTGTAATACAATACAGTGCAACACAATGTGCTACAATGCAATACAATGCAGTGCAATACAATACATCGCAGTTCAATACAGTGCAGTGCAATACAATACAGTGCAATACAATACATCGCAGTTCAGTGCAGTACAATACAATACAGTGCAATACAATACATCGCAGTTCAATACAGTGCAATACAATGTAGTGCAATGCAGTGCAATAAAATACAATACAGTGCAATTCAATACAATGCAATACAATACAGTGCAATACAAAACAATGCTGTGCAATAGAATACAGTACACTGCAGTACAATACAATGCAGTGCAATAAAATACAATGCAGTGTAATAAAATGCAGTGTAATTCAAGACAATGCAATACAATACTGTGCAATACAATACAGTGCAATATAAAAAAATGCAGTGCACTGCAATGCAATGCAATACAATATGGTGCAGTGCAATATATTGCAGTGCAATTCAAAACAATGCAGTGTAATACAATGCAGTGCAACACAATGTGGTACAGTGCAATACATTATAATGCAGTGCAATACAATACAATGCAGCGCAATACAATGTATTACACTGCAGTACAATACAATACAGTGCAATAAAGTACAATGCAGTGCAATATAATATAAAACAGTGCAATGCAGTACAATACAATGCAATAGAATACAATGCAGTGCAATACAATACAATGCAGTGCAATACAATAAAATGCAGTACAATACAATACAATGATGTGCTATACAATACAATACAATGCAATGAAATGCAATTCAATGCTATGAATGTACACTTTCTACAGTCAAATAAACACAGATAAAATTGTAATAGTATGTTAGTGTATGGAGTTTGAAGTGGGTGGGGGATACAATTACCAGTCTGCTGATTGATGACTTAATAACTTAGAAAAGATCTCCTAGCTTTTAACAGGTGGCACTTATGTCTACCTTATGTTCTTGAACAATCTTGTCTAAGAATACAGACCCGTATCCTGGATTAACCTTGGGGAGTGGTTTTACCAAGGGGGAGATTTTGCCAAGAGGGGGAGCTTTTTGACAGTTATGGCAAAAAAATCATGCGAAAAGTGCTAAGAATGGTGAAAAACTGCATGATTTTGAACGAATATTTGGCAAGGGGGAGGGGGGTGAGGCCCCCTGGCTACGGCCATGGAATACATATAGGAACTTTCCTTCTCCCAGAAGAAATGGTATACAGGTATTACATCAATCATTCTGGTATTTTGTATACGAAGGTCTGTAGTGCACACTTTATTGAAAGATGGCAGTGTACACTGTGTAGGCCTACTACCATTTTGAGGTCAGTTTGACTTTATAATTCTGCGCACTATAATCTGTAATTCTCATAGATATCCTCTCTAGAGGCATCACTGTGATCCAAAATTACAATTTCGCAGGTCAAGTCTGCAGTCTTTCGAAAAAAGTTGAATTCGTTGTGCTACCCTTTCTTGTTGGGCATTAATTAACAGAAAACTATATTTACATCGCGCCAGCATATACAAGCTTCAGCGCGATATTTTGAGTGTGTTAATAAATAAAGTGCGCAGAAATCGATCTTACTGGGCCGCGGTGTGCGATATCACTCATAAACAATTTTTAATTGCGCACTGAATGAATTACAGGGGGCGCGTTGTGCAAAGTGAATTAAATAAATAAAGTGCGCAGAAATATATCTGACTGGGCCGCGGTGTGTGATATCACTCCCATGTTAAAACTCCATTGAATTTTAAATTCTGCGGTATATCCCCTTTCGCTTTCCGTATTTAATAGCACAACACTATGCGAAATTGATTTTGTATTTACCAAAAGGCATGCGCGGTATGACATTTAGGGAGACGAACTAAAGTCTCGTTCTAACAGTTTAAAATAGTAAATAAACCAACCATCAATTGCAAAACAAAGGGCATCAGAAACTAATATTCACAAGATAACCAAGGAGGATTGGCTCCCAGGATCGAAACTCGATATATTCCAACAACAAAAACGTCTAAATTTTCTGAATTATAACCGACTTTTAATTCAAAACAAACAGTTCAACGGTTATCTAAATCATTTCTTGTGTATTTTGGAATTTTTCATTAGAAAATAAGACAAAATTCACGCTTCAAATGTTGGATTGGACAAAATGGCGGCTGTTTGGATTCGAATTTTGCAGCATGACATGCCCATATATGGGACATAAAACCGATGCTAGACTCTGGGAGCCAATCCTTGGAAGATAATCGAGATATTTACATAACCGCCATTTTTAAAACCGTCTTTTTATTTTTAATTAGTATTAAGCAGGGGGGTGATCTCCAAATGTCAACCTTCGTATACGATCACGTGGTACCCATGTGCTAAATACATATACATGTAAATCTTACATGACCATATAAGAATCCAACTGACCTTTGTCCGCCATTTTGAATATCATGTGATAGATCCATATAAGGCTTGTATGACCATACGGGATGGTTAAGGGGAATCCACGAATACGAAAGAATATGATAGTATTATGGGAGCTACACCCTCTGAATCTCATGGTAAGTATAGCTTACACATCGGAACAGGCCGGCCGCCTACCGTTCCTTGATACGCTGGTTTATATACGTGAAGATGCCCTTTTGTTCACAACTAATCAATACAATAAATCTACTCATAGCAACCACTATCTTGAATTTTGTACACAATTTCAACTTCATTCTAATATATATCATTTGAATCTTTAACATTTTAGACAACGTCGCACTCGGAAAGACAACTTCCCAGTCGTCGATCCTACCATACCGTGGCGACACAGTTGCATCAGAGCGAGCTATTCTCACTACTTCAGATGGAACGTGTATCGCTAGCCTAACAAACTACGAGCAAACACCTTATTGGAGACTTGATCTTGGACTTAATTTGAATATTTCGAAGCTTGTGATACACCCTGTAATAGGTAAGTACCCACGCCTAACCATCGCGTAAGCAGGCGTCACCGTACAGCGTCAAAAAATACAGTAGTACAAATTTTTGTACGGTGACGAAAATTAACTGAGGTGAAGTAAAAACTGTAATGAGTTTTTAAAAAAATTAATTAGATGAAAATAAAGACGATTTCGGTTGTAATAAAAACAGCATTCTCTTAGAAATGGTTTCAACTTTCTAATTATAATAAAAGTTTTTCGAGCACTGCTTGGATTTTTTCTGACTGGATCGGCCCACATAGTCGACTCAAAAGAAAAATGTTGTTTTTCTCACTTTTTGTTTGGTTATTTTTTTCCCTGTCGTCTGAGAGTATGGATAATTTTTATGAGAATATGTATTTGTTATCTACACACTTTGAAACAGATGAAGATTCGGCAAATATTCATTCACTGTATATATTTAAAAAAGATCAGATCTGTACGGTGACGCATCTGCTGTACGGTGACGTTTCCTTAGAATTTATGAAGTGTAATATATGAGCTCATTAACGTAAGATTCCATAAGTTTTTGTGTGGAAATTCAAATGTTGTATCCCATTTAACACTAACAAATTAATAAACGCACGGAGCACACCGCGTCTCGAACTCCCCCTCGTGGTTACGGCACCCAATCGCCTAGCCTGAACGTGCCTGGCGCCTAAGCCCTCTCAAGCAACTCGACAACCCCAAAAAGGTTGTTTTTGTTAGTCGATCTGACTAGGGGCAGCTGATGTTAACGCTCAAACACACCAGAGAAAGCACAACTGACATTCCGTACCCTTTCCATTAGCCACCCTTCCATTTGGCATTTGTGCTTATATTCCTACACATACACACGTTGATCAACTGTCCTTAAGAGCCCAGAGCGGGTTAATACCTCTGCAACTGAAAGCTCAGACAGTGGTCATAAATGAATAAACGCACGGAGCACACCGCGTCTCGAACTCGCAACCTCGTGGTTACGGCACCCAATCGCCTAGCCTAGAGCCATCTTCACCCCATGCATGCAAGATATTGCATCTTTCATCCTAAAAAGTCACACGTGCAAGATGAGATTTAGTTGTGACATCACTTGTTTAAAAGCATCAATAACATAGCAACAAATATACTGAGTTTTTGGTTTCATGATCCTTACCATATCATACATTTCCATTAACCTTCCATTAAGCGTTGGAAGATATCGTTGAACTACATGCAGCGCCCATGCACTATATCAGTGATCAGATAAGCTTAGTCTCTTTTAGTTCATCAAAGCATAACGCCAACGAAGAAGTTAACTCAGTGAAATTGTCTCTTCCTGTCTGCCATCTTAGATGCAAAAGTGACCGCAGTATCGTCTCTTGATACTGATCAGTTTGACAACATTTGAACTTCCACACCAAAACGTATACGATTTGAAGTAAATAATAATGAGTTCTTTATATTACTTTTCACAAATTATAATGAATCGTCACCGTACAGCTGATGCGTCACCGCACAAATCTGATCTTTTTTAAATACACACAATGAATGGTTATTTGCTGAATCTTCGCCCGTTCTAAAATGTGTAAGTAACAAATACATATTCTCATAAAAATAATCCATACTCTCAGACGGTAGGAAAAATAATAACCAAACGAAATGTGAAAAAATCAACTTTTTTTACTTGGGTCGATTATGTGGGCCGATTCACTCAGAAAAAATCCGGACAGTGCTCGTAAAACGTTTATCATATTTAAAAAGTTTAAACCATTTTTAAGAGAATGCTGTTTTTATTTCACATGAAATCGTATTTGTTTTCATCAAATTAATTTTTTTTAAAACCCTTGCCATAGTTTTTGCTTCAAAGCAGTCAATTTGCGTCACCGTACAGAAAACTGTACTCCGCTATTTTTTGACGCTGTATTGAGACGATGGTTAGGCGTGGTACTGGAAAAAGTGGAGTTTGCGTCCCATCTTTCAAACAAAAAAACTTCGTCGGTGTATTCATGTATGGATCGATTCTTTGTGAATGTGTTTTACTTTGGATCACCGTGATGAGATTATAATGTGATTAAAACCATTATAAATACCAATAGTAAAATCGGTTATATTTTTATATTCTATTTACACATGCTAGAATATATCGATTTATTGGAATTCAATTGACATTTTCCTAGTTTCTTGTATTGTTTTCAATTTTTTGTGAGTTTGATATGTTGTGAGAAGAATACAGTTAGGGTAAGTGCTATCATCGATTATTTAGTCAAATTTTGTCCATTTTTGAACTACAATCGTTTTTTTTAGTTAGTTAGTTACATACTTTATTGTCAAACTATGATACATAAATTATACATCAACTGACACTTTAACAAGTGTATGAAGTTGTTTTAGTGACAAAAATGAAAATTCAATAATAACTATACATATTGATAGCATATGTATGCATCTAACTTATGGCTAGCGGTGGGGTGGGTTGTGGCTGCCAATGTGTGTTAACTCTATTTCGGTTTAGGAAAATGTATTCATTCGTGTACTGTTTTTTATCTTTAGATGCCCAATGGATACACAACCCAGCAAGAATAACCAGTTGCATACCTGGAAATAATATTGCTAGAGAAGATCTCCCATTAACACAGGACTTCGAGCAGTGCAAAGTGATCTGTCTTAACTCTCTAAATTGCCTATCATTTGACTTTCAACATACAAGTGAAATCAGGCGCTGCCAAATTAGTGGCAAACACTCCTTGACGATGCCCATATCAGAGCCATGCCATTTGGATGACTATAAGTACTATGAATACTTTAAACCAGGTAATAATCGTATGCTATTATATTCAATAATTAATGATCTAAAATGACAGAAAATGGGAAGTTCACAATGAGTTGATACTTGTTATTTTACAAACAATCCACCGTAACTTGTCTTTTTTCTAGTCCAGTTTAAAAATGAGCATTTTTGTACTGAAATGTTTTCACGTCCTACTAAGTTCAAACTATCTTTTTTCTTGTTTTTTTTTATGTGATTGTCTTAACATATCTGTATATGTTGTTCCATTAAAGATCTAAACAATTTTGGCATTTACATTGGACAAGACAGTATAAACATCGACGACCCAAATCAATACGACGTATGTTTCGAACAAACCTCTATTATGTCAGGCCCACACGAAGTCAGATGCTATACTGACTTGAGGGGGAGGTATGTTATGATTCAGAAAAACGACCAATCTGAATCATCACAACTGGGAATTTGTCAAGTGGAAGTTTATGTAGAACGTATATGTAAGTACTCACGACTTACCATTTGTAATATCACTGAGAATACGAATGATGTATGGAATCAATTATAGAAATGATTGCTCAAAATGGAATTTCATATCAAAAATACTAAAATGAAAAGTGTGTGTATCAGATTATTCCCTTTAAATGTCTGTACAATAATTGAAATAAAGACTAATTTAAATGAAAAAATCTCTCTGGTACATTCCACGCAAACAAGTTTTAATTAGCACCTGCTACTTAAAACTATACGAGTTTTTCTTGTCAATCCAAGGGCGAACGTAATACACAGAACGTTCGCAAATTGGCGTTCGGTTTTTTACCGCATCCGATTTAAATTAGCCAATTAAAAAAACAGGCCCCGGATGTCGTGTCGTTTCTCGTTTCATTTGGTACGGGGGTGTCGACTTTTGGCTTGCAACCGAAGAAACCTCAAGAAAATCCGGAGATTGCCGAAGATTTTCTTTGCAAACGAAGTTGGCCGAGGGTACCACTAATGTGAAGAGGACGTCTCTAATTGGTCAAAAAGAGAGGCTCGGCATTCTCCGTCAGATTGAATCGGCAAAATTCGGTTGTATGGCTTTCCTTCGGTTGTATGGCTTACCTTCGGCTGCATGGCCCAACCTCGATTGAATTGAAAAGATGCTGTCCCCACTTGGTACACAACTAGCCCAGGGTATTAAATAAGCCCTTGTTAAATCTTCTCCAGATTGTTCAGAAGTGTCTGTTAATCCTCATACGAGACTTGTGAGATTTGATGGGCGGCAAGAAGGAGATGTAGCGATATTTGAGTGTCTCCCCGGGAATAACATGTTAAGTGGTGAATACCGTGTCACATGCCTTGCGAATGGAGAATGGAGTGATTCATCACTTGTTTGTTCAGGTAATTATGTTCATATCTCAATTATTTTCTCTCACAAATCAAATCATGAACGGACATCGTTTATATATAACGGTGCTGATTGGACAAAGAACGGTCTTTAGTCTATCCATACTTTGTAATGTATATACTTTCATCATAAGTACACGTATCTAATCTCTTTTGACCAGCGTTGTCACGAAATTTCTGAGAAGTTGTAGATGATTTAAAAAAAAAATTGTCAATTTGAAGCAAGTTGAAAAAATATCTTTTTGACTCTGAGAAGGTCGTCAAATCTCAAATCTTAAGTCAGATTTGAACTTCTGAGAAGTTGTAGATGATCTTGAAAAATAAATTGGTCAATTTGAAGCAAAATGAATAAAGACCTTGTTGACCTTTAGAAGGTCATTTTTTACCTTGAGATTGAGAACATCATTGAAGGTCAAATCTATAGCCAGATTAGAACGTTTGAGAACTTGTAGATGATTTTGAAAAAAGGAATTGGTAAATTTGAAGCAAGTTGAAAAATACCTTCTTGACCTTTTTTACCTTGAGAAGGTCATTGAAGGTCAAATCTCAAATCTAAAGTAAGATTTGAACTTCTGATAACCTGAAGATGATTTTGAAAAAATTGGTCAATTTGAAGCAAGTTGAAAAATACTTCTTTGACTTTTATACCCTTTTTTGACCTTGGAAATGTCATTGAAGGTCAAATAAATCTTAAATATACATTGCCATTCTCAAATCATAATAATTAAGTGCTGATTTGGGTATTTTACTATTGTTAAGTATATTGTATTGATCTCCTCTCAGGTTGTTGTGATTTGACAAAGAATAATGCAACGCTGCTTTTACATAACTACAATGCCCTACCTCTCGGCCAGTTACCTGGAATGATTGATGCGTTGACTATGGATAGGAACACACAGTTTGGAGAGTTTGAGTACGCAGAGTTCCATCACACAAGCATCGTTGTTGATCAAGCCACATTCAGAGGCATTAAGCTCTCTCCGGGAGATTCCATCTTCACTAACAGTAGTATTGTCCATTCTAATGATGTGCACTACGAGAATATTTCATTGGAGATTTGGATGGATCTAGATTTAATGTTAGGGTACACAGTCATTACCTCGAATACATTTGGCTTGACATTTCGGAATGGAACTGTTGCTGCCACATTTGTGGGAATTGAGGATACCATTACAATTAGTTACACTATTAATGATGTAATACTTCAGCACTCAAATATCGTTTATGTCGTGTTAACAAAAACTATGACAGCATTTGATCTCTATATGAATGCTATATTGGTTGCACATCTGACAACGTGTATTGTCGAAACTAATATTGAAGGAAATCATCACTTTTACATGGACTCTGATGTGGCAGGGGTCATATATTCATTTCACTTTAGTACAGCATGGCCCGATGTATATAAAACATTCAAAGCAGGTAATTTAGTCAATGGGTACTTGATGCATTGTCAATCAGGTCAGATTTTGACGTTATTGTGTTTTTTCTGATTCTCTAAATCCAATCACGTCACAGTAAAAGATCTACGAGAGGTGATCAATCATTTCGAATCCGAATGATTAATTTATGATTTTTCAATACATAGTCGATCTCGTTGTCTCTGTAAGCCTTACATGAAAAAACAAGTCGTTGTTTATTATGAATATGAGAAAACTAACGGTAAGTCATCTTAAATTCTCTTGGAAAGGATTAACAAACATGAATGCCCCTGGGAAACTTATATATCATATATTATATATATTTCATGAATCTCAAATTATTTGTTACAGCTCAGTATGATAGAAGAGCAGTTGGCTGTGAAACGGAAGATATGCGCTTTGTTACCGCGTGCCCAAGTGGCAGTGTATGGGTTCCCTGGATGAAAGTAGGGCAACCAATTGCAAGCCAAGAGAATGGAATGTTATACCCGTGTGACTTCGCATTTCAAACTGGCTGTTCGTTGACCACATATTCCGAGGCAGTAGTGCAGGAACTGTTCGAAGAGAACGCGTGTACAGATAAGAGTTATTGCAATATTAGTTACAGCGAGTATAGCAACATGAGAGAAGATAGTTGTCCACAGGAGGAAAAGGTTACGGTAATTGCAAGGTTCGACTGTAAAACACCGGGTAAGACCATTTTTAATACTCCAACAAAGTATAAAGTCTGGAGAATATATTGAAAATAAGCTGTCACAAAATGTAAATTGTTGATATTATAAACGATTGCAGTTGTCTCTAGCCAAATTACTTGGCTAGAGACAATGCTAGAAGACATCGCAAGTGGACCACCGTGCACTAGTGATAAAGTTTATTCTGAAGAAAAATAAATTTAGATGTTATTTTAAAAATCGTAATGAGAATATTTCATCAATTAAAATTTAAACGGACATTGTGCTTTGAGAGATATTGTTTACTTTCGTCTAAAATTAAATTAACGGCTTCAAGAAAAATGGCAGATGTTCAACGACAACAACAAAAACTGGACGAAAATGTCGTCAATGTATGGCATTATATCTGGTCGAAAATTCAAAGTAGCGATCTAAAAGACTTGAACTAATACACTGATCACTTCCTGTGTGTTTTGAAAGTTTCTGTGCGACCAAAACTCGCAATTCAAATTGTGAAGGGAAAAAATGGCGGCTGGTTGATTTCAAATTTTATGATCACGACATGCCTCTTATCAGGCAGAACAAAACACACGGGGATTAATGCTTGGCGTAAGGTTGCAATAAAATGGAAGCCTTAGATGAAGGTAAGATTTCAGAGTTAAAGTTGTAGTGTCTCTAATAAATGTATAAATTATATGATTCCGCCATTATTTGGTTTTTAAATACTGATTGATACGCCTTATTATCCGATGGATACTAAATATATATAAGAACACAAGATAATTTTTGTATGCGCCACTAAAATCGTATCCGATCCATATGACATTATATTCAATGGTAACCGCTGAACACTATTTAAAATATTTTGAGAAAATTAAAACGGATTTTTTTCTGAAAATTTGTGAAAAAGGTTTTTAAAAAAATTGAAAAAAATTGAAAACAGAAAATAAAATGAAAACATTTGAAAAGAATTAGGTGATATTACAATATACAAAAATAGCGACCATAGGATAAATATGATATCCTATGATTTTCTCGGCTATCATTTTTATCCACTCGGCGCTCACTCGGGGAGACGGGCGATATTCACTAATGGATAAAAATGGTAGCCCTAAAAAATCATAGGATATCCTCTATACATCACTGATAAAATTGCAATCAATCCGTGTTGTACTGTTTCAAATTTAAATACTAATATGATCGTAATAATCCGATTTTACACCATACTGATTTAAATGCGAATGAATCGAGCGAATATTTGACCATTGGTGTGATGCGTAACCCGTTTATTTTAGAATCAGCCGAGTTGGAGGTCGTGGAGGAAAATGAGATCACAGATGCTGACCCATTTGCTACATGTATAACATTGGGCCCATCGCTAACAAAACAAAGCCTACAGCTTAAGATTGGACAAGCAGCAGACATCGGGGACATCATTGTCAACATTGGTGTCAAATATGGTGATAATGCAGAAGATTATAGGATATCCTATGATTTTGAGGAATATCATTTTTATCTACCAGGTGATATTGATATATACGAGTGCATATTCTCAATATCACCGAGTAGATTAAAATGAATGATATTCTGAAAAAAATTCATAGGATGTTCTTATTATCCTACACTTACAAGGAGTGTACTAAATGTATAATATCATTGCAAAATGAATTTCATGCCAGATAGAGTCAATTTGGCGGGAAATCAACAAGCTGAGTATATCGTTACAATATCCTCCAGTTATTCAATTTGCCAATAAATATCAAATTTATTTTTTAATGTTATTATACATTTAGGACAGTAAGTGTAGGATAATCATAAATAAGTGTAACCTAAAGATAAAGAATGTGTTATTATGTAATCAAGAAGTGGTGATACATGTATATTCTTATAGCAACCATGTTTATGACCTGAGTTTGACGTTACGCTTTATTAGTATCGTAAATAAGTTCTACCTGCAGTCGACGGTCAGCGTTCGAAGACTGGTGAGAATATTACATTTTATCCCATACTTGGACGTGTTACAGGTACATAAAGCCGGTTTGTAAAAACTTATATTTTCATCAGCGGGCAGATATAGCTTTACGTCCCGCTCCGAGCGGGCAGATATAGTATATCTGCCCGCTACGTCATAATCGCCGTTCCCATATTGGTTCATTCTTTGTAACGTTCGCATACCGTAAACGACAATGGAGAAAAACGCAGACAATCGCGATCTGTTTGATGCTTTAAAGAAGGGAAGGAGCAGTATGTCCTGTTCATAATCAAAGATTCGTACAGGAAAATCCGGCTACGGACTAGAATACAAAACTGGACATGAATATTCTAAAATAATTCCACGGTTGGTTGCAAAGTTTCTGAACTGTGGCCAATTGAACGATGTGAACCAAATGACCAAGATTGGTATGGGATAAACAGATCATCCTATAGTCGGTTCAGGATATTGGGATTATCCCTTGGCCAATATAATATATCTACCCTCGGGACCTACGGCCCTCGGGCAGATATATTATATTGGCCTCGGGATAATCCCAATATCCTGAACCTCATATAGGATAATCTCTATGTATTTTTCCATTAACTTTTTCATGTTATACTCTTGTATCTCTTGTTACAGGTGAACCGAGCCATTTAGTTCATGACGTTCAAGACCATCAGTTAACTGCATCGTCTTCGTATAGTGCTGCACACGATCCAAACTTTTCAAGATTAAATACAATAAGGTAGGCATGTTAAGAGATGGAATGGATAAATAAGGGTTATGTACTGGGAGGTTTTGGATATGGGGTTTATCCAGAGGGAGATATCCATATCTACCTGAGGGACCGTAGGGACCGAAGGTAGATGTGCATATCTCACGAGGGATGAACCAAATTTCCAAACCGACCGTACATAACTGCTTTATCCTAAACCAAGTAGAGTTGTCAGGGGCATATTGCCATTTCAATAGTACAAGGTGTAAAAATAAACAAATCATTCATATTATGCAAAGTCATTTTATTGCATTTCTACTACTTACCGGAAGCGGGAAGATATGCACTGAAGCGGGAAGATATGCACCGAAGCGGGAGATATGGCGGGAGATATGGAGGTTCAGGATATGGAAACCTCAAAATCAGGATACGGGATATATCTTACCAACTTATCTCCCTAAAACTCTACTTGGCATAGGATAAGACATTATATTTTAACTTGAAAGATAATAATTATAGTTAGATACACTAATCGCATTACCGCGATTCATCCAAAACAGGTGCAAGTAACAGCATTCTTTCTAAATCTACAAATGATATGCAAACACTACCCAAGGAAGAAAACAATAAAAAAGAAAATGCAAATTGAAATAAAAAGAAAATATTCCCATTCAATAAAATGAATGCAACCGACACTTCAAAACGTTAATTATTCAAATAGTACGAGTGGACAATGTGGATGTTGGGCTGCCGCTGTCAACGATCAAAACCAATGGATTCAAGTTGATTTCGAGACTGTTGTTCATGTCAGTGGCGTCATAACGCAGGGACGTTCAGATTATTCACAATGGGTCACTAGCTATACTGTTTCGCACAGCTTAGATGCTATCAACTTCATTAACCATACATTAGTGAATGGTACAATAAGGGTAAGTGAGAAGAAAACACAAATACTAACAAGTAAAAAGTATTATTTTTTAAAAAAAACTAGCAATCTAGCGTTAGATGTCATTGTTTACAGAAAAATCACAATTTTTATATTTATTTATTTCATGATAAAAAAATTGGATTTTTCTGTAAACAATGGAATGAATTCAATATTAAATCAAATATGCATATTGTGCTTTAATTCCACAGTCAATGTGCATGATATTTTAAAGGTATTTACTGGGAATATTGATCAGAATAGTACAGTAGCCCATCAGTTCGGACCAGAATTCAATGCTAGAATTGTCAGAATCCATCCCAGGGAATATTACGTGCATATGTCGATGAGATTTGACATTTTGGGTAAGTAAACCTAATAGGTTTTTTCATGTTCAGAGTGTGTGTGAAGTTTTGTTTATAAAAAGTAGAACAAGTTTTTGGTATTGTTGTGATTACATATCACTACGTCATCTCGGCTAGGATTGTAATGTCTAGCTCACGTGGTCTGGCTCACATTTGTTCGATTCATCGGTCGGCGCCCGGCCGATTGAGTATTGCTTTCAAAATTGTATTCAGTTTTCTACAAAATACTCAATCGCCCGGGCGCCGGGCAATGAATCGGAGTAAATGAGACCCAGGCATTACTAACTCATGTTTCAGGCGACAAACTACCAGAAATGGAACTCATTGATGCTATGAATGTTCCAGATGACCATTTTAGCGTATCATCTACTCATAGTCACAGTACACCTCTAGGAGCCAGAGCCAGACTTAACTATGATGACCCTGGGTACGTGTTTCTTATAGTTAGTTGAATCTGATATTTTTCAAATATTGCCTTACGGAGATGAAGTAAAAGTATTCCTGATTTTGTCAGTGCATTGACCGTTCATTTTAATGAATTGCTGAAAATATTACAGCGGATGTAGGTCATGGTGCGCAGGATCAAATGATGCAAACCAATACATTGAGGTGGATCTTGGGAGAGCTGTATTCGTTAGTGGCATTGTGACTCAAGGACGACATGATTATGACCAATGGGTCAAATCGTACAAGCTGAAATATAAAGCCGCTGAAGTGGAGCCCTTTGTAGGATATACAGAAGATGGTATAGACAAGGTACAGCATTGGCAAGCGCGTACATCTTAAAATAAATAATGATTTGCACTTATTAAATATCCAGAATCAACATTATTTTAATATCCATGTAAACAGTTTCTGATTCCGGATTTGTTTATATAAGGGTCGTGAATTAATTATTCTAGTTTCTGACATTTTTAAAACGTAGAATTGTTTATTTCGCCCTTTCAAGCCTAAGAAGCTGCTTTGTGTTTTACCATGACAACACTTCGCGTATTTATTTTATACACAATAATTTCTTGCTTTTGGTTTGATTGATATGACATTCCATTTATACAGTGCGTATCAAAATAAACGCAACAGATTGTTATCTTGGAAAAGCACAAAACCAGTGATAACAGCATTGATTTCATTCAATGCACCATAAAACCATGTGTCTCCTCTTTAGTATAGTAGGAACAAGGGGTTCCCATGCACCCATAAGGTGTGAATAAGTTACATACATTTTTGTAATCCCTAGGGTGTCTATTTAATGAATTCATTTGTTAACATTGCCAACTAATGTCCCATAGTACTTTTATGGCGGCATTCAGTTACCATGGTTACGCATCTTTAGACATCTTACCTTGGTATCTTAAATCATTTGTAGCTCTGTCATTATTTGGTCTATAGAAATGATATTGGTACCAAATTAAACCTCGTTAAATTTCCAATAAATTTATCGTATTGAATTATGCAAATTATCTAATTTGCATAAATTATGACGTCATCAATCTATTTTTGGTTCAGAATTTCCAACTATAGCAACGTATCTATTAGAACTGAGGCCGTATGGCAAAATTTCTGAAAGGTTTTGTCCTTTATTCTATTAGTAGAAGGTATAAGCAACATAAAAGTGAAAACAGATTCAAAATTGAATCAGTACTACGAAAGTTATGTAACTTTCGAGGCAGCTATCGTGAATGTCATTATTTGACAATAATATACATACGTCTTACCTTGGAGTCTTGAATCAATGTAGCTTCGCCATTATTTGGTCTATAGAGATGATATTGGTATCTGATTAAACTTTATTAAATTTACTATATGGTTACAATAGTCAGTTATGCAAATTAGCTAATTTGCATTAATTGTGACGTCATCAATCCATTTTTGGTTCAGAATATCCTGGTATAGCAACATATCTATTAAAACTGAGGCCGTGTGACAGAATGTGTGCATAGTTTTGTCCCTTATTTGATGAGTGGAAGATATAAGCAACATTAAAGAGACAACAAATCTTCAAAATTGGATCAGAATTAACAAAATTATCCAGCTTTGGAGGCGGCTACTGTGAACGTCATTGTTTGACAATTATAAAAAGAATATTAAATTAACAAAAAAAGTAACAACCAAAGTTGTTTCAATCTTATTGAGTAAAAATGTGCATGTATTGAACTGAACTAATAAGTATGTGGAAAGGTTACATGTTTTTTGACTATCATTCACAGGGGTCAAAACGGTTATCTCGACGCTGTATATTAAAGATCCAATTTTATAATTTACCATGCACTTTCAATGATTCATATAAATAGTATACATATAGTCTGATTTTCATCATATTCATCATATTCTTCATATTCTTGATTCTTAAAGCATCTGAAGTATAAAGCATGATTAGAAGTGAAGATGATTCATCATATGGTTTATGTAATATTTCTAACATTTCAGATGCTATGGTAACATCACTTGATAATGAGGTTTTTACATTTCACGTTCTTAATGAGTTAAAAGAAAGTTATTCTTCCTTTGCTTTAGAGATAAATAGTCACATGAATTTGTTTAAAAAAATTATAACTTAATTTAACCCCCTCCTGACAGCCCCCATATTTGAAGATTTTGGTGAAACCTGGCAAAATACATTAATTATTAGGTTCCAGAAGCCCCCAGAAGCTATATGATGGCCCCCAGTGGCCCCAAGAATCTATACAGGGGCCCCAAGTGGCCCCCAGAAGGTATACGATGGCCCCCAGAAGCTATACAAGGGCCCACAGAAACTATACTGTGGTCTCCAGAAGCTATATGGTGACCCCCAGTGGCCCTCAGAAGCTATATGATGGCCCCCAGAAGCTAATTAGTGGACCCCAGGAGCTATACGGTGGCACCCAGAAGCTATACAGGGAACCCTAGTGGCCCCAAGAAGCTATACGATGGCCCCCAGAAGCTATACAGCAGCCCCCAGAAGCTACACGATGGCCCCCAGAATCTATATGATGGCCCCCAATGGCTCCCAGAAGCTATACAGGGCCCCCAGTAGCCCCTAGAAGCTATACGGTGGCCCCCAAAGCTATATGGTGGCCCATTGGGGGACACTGTATAGCTTCTGGAGGCCATTGTATAGCTTATGGGGGCTACCATATAGTTTCTGCGGGCCCTTGCATAGCTTCTGGGGGCCATCGTATAGCTTCTGGGAGCCACTGGGGGCCCCTGTATAGCTTCTGGGGGCTACAGTACAGTTTCTGCAGGCCCTTGTATAGCTTCTGTGGGCCATCGTATAGCTTCTGGGAGCCACTGTGGGCCCCTTTAAAGCTTCTGGGGGCCACTATATAGCTTTTGGGGCCACTGGGGGCCACCGTATAGCTTCTAGGGGCTACTGGGGGGCCCTTTATAGCTTCTGGGAGCCATTTGGGGCCACCACATAGATTCTGGGGGCCATTGTGTAGCTTCTGGGAACCACCATATAGTTCCTGAGGGTCACTATTTAGCTTCTGGGGGCCATCATATAGCCTATGAGGGCCACCGTATAGCTTCTAGGGGCTACTGGGGGCCCTTCACATCTTCTGGGAGTCATTGGGGGCCATCATATAGATTCTGGGAGCCATCATGTAGCTTTTTGGGGCTCCTGTATAGCTTCTAGGGGCCATCGTTTAGCTTCTTGGGGCCACTGGGGTCCCCTGTATAGCTTGTGGGAGCCACAGTATAGCTCCTGGGGGCCACTAATTAGCTTCTGGAGGCCATCATATAGCTTCCGAGGGCCACTGGGGGCCACCAAATAGCTTCTGGAAACCATAGTATAGTTTCTGGGGGCCCTTGTATAGCTTCTGGGGGCCATCGTATAGCTTCTGGGGGCCCCCGTAAAGCTTCTGGGGGCCACCGTATAGCTTTTTGGGGCCACTGGGGGGCCCTGTATAGCTTCTGGGCGCCACTGTATAGCTCCTGGGGGCCACAGGGTTTCCTGTATAGCTTCTGGGAGCCACCGTATAGCTCCTGGGGGCCACTATTCAGCTTCTGGGGGCCAACATATAGCTTCTGGGGAGCACAGTATAGCTTCTGGGGGCCACTTGGGGCCCCTGTATAGATTCTTTGGGACACTGGGGGCCATCATATAGCTTCTGGGGGCTTCTGGAACCTAATAATTAATGTATTTTGCCAGGTTTCACCAAAATCTTCATATATAGGGCTGTCAGGGGGGGGGGTTAAATTAATTAAGTTATAATTTTTCTAAACAAATTCATGCGACTATTTATCTCTAAAGCAAAGGGAGAATAACTTCCTTTTAACTCATTAAGAACGTGAAATGTAAAAACCTCATTATCAAGTGATGTTACCATAGCATCTGAAATATTAGAAATATTACATAAACCATATGATGAATCATCTTCACTTCTAATCATGCTATATACTTCAGATGCTTTAAGAATCAAGAATATGAAGAATATGATGAAAAGCAGACTATATGTATACTATTTATATGAATCATTGAAAGTGCATGGTAAATTATAAGATTGAATCTTTAATATACAGCGTCGAGATAACCGTTTTGACCCCTGTGAATGATAGTCAAAAAACATGTAACCTTTCCACATACTTATTAGTTCAGTTCAATACATGCACATTTTCACTCAATAAGATGGAAACAACTATGGTTGTTACTTTTTTGTTAATTTAATATTCTTTTTATAATTGTCAAACAATGACGTTCACAGAAGCTGCCTCCAAAGCTGGATAATTTTGTTAATTCTGATCCAATTTTGAAGATTTGTTGTCTCTTTAATGTTGCTTATATCTTCCACTCATCAAATAAGGGACAAAACTATGCACACATTCTGTCATACGGCCTCAGTTCTAATAGATATGTTGCTATACTAGGATATTCTGAACCAAAAATGGATTGATGACGTCACAATTAATGCAAATTAGCTAATTTGCATAACTGAATATTGTAACCATATAGTAAATTTAATAAGGTTTAATCAGATACCAATATCATCTCTATAGACCAAATAATGGCGAAGCTACATTGATTCAAGACTCCAAGGTAAGATGTATGTATATTATTGTCAAATAATGACATTCACGATAGCTGCCTCGAAAGTTACATAACTTTCGTAGTACTGATTCAATTTTGAATCTGTTTTCACTTTTATGTTGCTTATACCTTCTACTAATAGAATAAAGGACAAAACCTTTCAGAAATTATGCCATACGGCCTCAGTTCTAATAGATACGTTGCTATAGTTGGAAATTCTGAACCAAAAATAGATTGATGACGTCATAATTTATGCAAATTAATAATTTGCATAATTCAATACGATAAATTTATTGGAAATTTAACGAGGTTTAATTTGGTACCAATATCATTTCTATAGACCAAATAATGACAGAGCTACAAATGATTTAAGATACCAAGGTAAGATGTCTAAAGATGCGTAACCATGGTAACTGAATGCCGCCATAAAAGTACTATGGGACATTAGTTGGCAATGTTAACAAATGAATTCATTAAATAGACACCCTAGGGATTACAAAAATGTATGTAACTTATTCACACCTTATGGGTGCATGGGAACCCCTTGTTCCTACTATACTACTTTACAATGATATCATTCATTGATATTTGGTCATGGTTGGGCGAGTAATCATTCCATTTGCAAAGTGGGCCAAAATTAACTTCGGGACAAGTTATAAACATTGCAAAAGTCAGTGTACGGAGCCCGATGCAATATTGGAAGAAAACATAAAACCAATGCTGACTGCAATCTTTTTAATTCAATGAACCA